GATATTGCTGCTATTAAGGTACTAAAACCATGGTATTAGACACATGTAAACCTTGTTTACAACCTCTAGGTTACTCTAATACATAATACAGTGTATTCTAAGTCAAGTTAGTTACATGTGCACCGTTTTGGAATTCTCAAAACAAACTAAAATACACAAGAATGTTTAACCTGCATAATGCAGCATTTTGKTGCTCCTAAGAAGGAATAAACTCTGATGAAATACAGAAGAACAAATTCTTTTTTTATTATTATCATTATAGTACGTATTCTGGCCACTAACTTATATAAATATATTAAGTTTTTATTTGTCATAATACTGATTCTTGTGATTTTTGAAACTTCCTTGAAAAAAAAAGCATGACCCCCTCCCTACGATTGAAAAACATGCAATTAACCCTCCCCCCCAATAAAAAAATGAACGGTCCCTTATGCATTATATTTATTATTTTGATAAAGTCACTCTCCCTTTATTACTTCTACTGTGATAGATTTAGAGTGATTGGGTTAAGAAAGAAAGTAATCTTTTATGTTTGTCAACAGGCGGCCATTGCAAATGCTACGTCACTTGATGAAGTACAAAGATTGGAAATGCTACTMAAAGCAGGRCAAGTACCAGGATCAGAACGACGAAACAAYAAYGACCAAGAAGAGATGGAAATTACTAATGGCAAATGATCACCTAGTGCTAGTTTTGTATTTTCTTGTATAAAAATTATCAGCTCGCTGTAAACAGCATTATACATGTACTCAAGAATATGTAAGTTCTATCAAACAAAAATAGGTTTTTAAAAGAAGTCGTTTCAGTAGCTGTAACCTCTACACACTAAGGAAAGTATAATGATRACATTTTACATGTATTCTCCATGGCTTCGTCTGAAAGGAATGGATATTACATACTGTACATGCAATTCCTGAATGTATATCAACGATTAGTACCGTAATACAATCGATTTTACCACTCGAAAAACACCACTTTTCATTCAACTGCGAAGCAAAAACAACCTCGTATTACTTAATAAAGATCAACATAAAATAACRTGTACTGTTAGTTTGGCAAGTATTCCATGGGTTGGTTAAAAATCAATGTAAAATTTGTATCTCTGTATTGACRTGTGTAAAGCTTTGTATCAATTATGCAACTTTAAAACATTGTACTTACTTCACAGTGTTGAGATCTCAACCTGTATTCAATATGTGCCGGGTAATGACAGTGATATTTTAACTGGTAGAGTAAAGTTATCAAACCCAAAAAATTAACTATTAAAGTGTGATTATCAAATAGACACAAAAGAAAAAAGTGCACCAAGAGCGAACTAAGGACAAGGCAGACAAGGTGTTGTCTATTTCACGAGTTTTTTTTTACTTCACTCTTACATCGTGGCTCAACAGTCTCATTGTAATTCCCTGAGTTACACTGTATTTTTTAAGCTATGATCATTCCTTTGCATTGAAATTATTATTTGTGGTGTGCTATCTCCTCTCATCACTCTGTAAAAGGGTTTATTATTAAAATCAGTAAT